GCGTTGATGATCAGACTACCCATTTGATCGCTAAGGCCCGACTCTGATAGTCCCAGGAAAGTCCTTAACAAAAAGATGAAATTTAAAAAAGGAAAATAATAGGTGTTTTAATAGAATTTCAAACAAAAAGGTTGCTGGGTTAGACAGAAAGCAAGCCCTTCTCCTTTCCCTTATCTTCAGGGTAAAGATAAAAACAGAAAACAAAGCCATTAGGCTTTCCCTCCTATTCCACTTGAATAAAAAAGCAGAGTCAAGAACAGCCACCACATTCCAGGACCACTGGGAGGAGGTTATCTTGGGTATCAGCTCAAACTTTGTGATGCTGCAGCATAGTATACACTCCTGAGAGGTCTCTCAGAAAGACTTGTTAATAAATGCAGGGCCACACCATAAACAAACAGCCACATAAGATATGATTCAGTTTGTATGAAATGTCCAGAACAGGCAAATCCATACAGACAGAAAGCAGGAGGTGATTTCTGAGGACTGGAGTGTAGAAGAAATGAGGGATGACTGCTAAGAGGTACAGGGTTTACTTTTGGGGTGATGAACACTTCTAGAAACAGGTAGTGGTGATGGCTGCAAAACTTTATAAATATACTAACTGCTAAATCTGTATACTTTAAAAGGGTTGCATGAGACTTCTATCTCAGCAAAAACTGGAGGGAGGGGCAGGTCCACTGTGGTAATAAAGTTTCCTATGATTATCCAGTACTCTGCTTTCTCTTATCAGTAACAGAAGGAAGTAGGGAGATTAAAGTCTTTCTGTCAACAGCTGCTGATAATGAGAAGGCTGGGATAACATTTCAAACTGCCTATACAGGATGGCCAAAAAGTCTGGAAACATAGAGGAAGAGGATAAAGGTCCTGCTCTCAAAGGGAAATTATCTGCACAGAAAATAAGAGTAACCAGTAGGAAGTGGCCTCCTGATAACAAGCTGGTTCCGCTGCCTGGAGGGCTGGCCAGGCCTCCAGCTGTCTGGCCAGGACACCTCAGCCCCACCCACTGATTTCCCAAGGTAGTGCGTCATGAGAAAAGCTGGGAAGACAGATAAGCTTTTCCAAATCTTATTTCTGCACCCTGCAGCCTCTTGGTCAACCAAACTTGACCATTGTTAGCCACCCAACAGGGACCATTAAATAGCACAATCTGATGGCCCAAGGAGATGAAGCGGCAGGAGTGAACACGGAAAGGTGAGAAAGAACGGGATTAGCAACAGTTTGGTGGGATCACCAGTTCCTTCCAGAGATCACAGCAGCCAGATGACCTTAAGAATGTAAATCTTCACATGTCACCTCTTATTTCAAACCCATCCAAGGCAGTCAGAAAACATGCAAATTCCCCACAACTACCCGAAATAAAGTGCACGCTGGATGTGTCAGCCAGTAGCGGAGCCTGACGACACCCGCCCCCTCTGGCCCTCCTTCGCCCCCTTCCCTCTCAGAGCTCCCAGCGCACCAGTGCCTCCAGGGCCTGGCGCACACTTTCCTCCCCCAGGGTCTGCTCTCGGCTGGCGCCTTCCCATCCATCCAATGGTACCTTAACTCCAATAGTAGCTCAGATGAGTATCTCCAGGGGTCTCCCCTGTTAACCTCTCCCACAGCTCCCTGTGGGTGCTCTGTGGAGGACGCACCACACGGTCACTATTTTACTATTTATTGCAGTTTACTCTGTAGTCTATCCGTGCACAGATGGGGAGTATGTCCGCCTTAGTCTCTGTGTATCTGAGATGCTGCCATGGCGCATGGATAGCATTTGTTGTTTGCTTATTATTACTAGATGAACCTGTATTTTTAAAAAGAAAACCACTCTGGCCAGCAAGAATTCCAACAGACAAGAACAATTAGAGAGATGACAGATCACATCTTAATTTAGGTGCTACTAATAGCACCATTTTCAAGGACTTTCTTTCTGACAATTATACCATCACATTGGTTCAGCAATGAATGGACTTGATTAGGCTAATGTAACAGTGATTGCCTGAAATGTTTCCTAACTGGGGGGTCTGTATGCTTTATTGTGCATACAATCCCATGTCTCCTTGAATCTCTTTCACAAAGCAGAGGCCAGGTGGGCCTCTAGACCCTCCCCAGGGTCTGCAGGCCTGTCTTCCACCCCTTCTATCCCCCTCTTCAAGTATAATAAGCACAAGCTATGCTGCTGCTTTATACCAGGGCTTCTCAGCATGACCTTTAAAAATGAGACCCTTTAAAAGTTCCAAAACCCAGGTTGCACCTGAGAGTAATTACATCATAATCTTCAAGGAGAGGGCCCAGGAATTAGTAATTTTTAAGGCTCCTCAGATACTTCCAGTCAGCAGTCAAGGCTGAGAAGCACTGTTTTAGGGGAAAATCTAAGCATCCACAGAGACCAACCTTCACTTAATGATACAGAATCCTGTCTTCATTTTAAATGAGAGTCCCTTGGACAGCAAGAAGATCAAACCAGTCAATCCTAAAGGAAATCAACCCTGAATATTCATTGGAAAGACTGATGCTGAAGCTGAAACTACAATACTTTGGCCACCTGATGCAAAGAGCTGACTCACTGAAAAAGACCCTGACGCTGGGAAACATTGAGGGCTGGAGAAGGGGACGACAGAGGATGAGATAGCTGGAGGGCATCATCGACTCAATGAACATGATTTTGAGCAAATTCTGCAAGACAGTGAAGGACAGGGAGGCCTGACGTGCTATAGTCCACGGGGTCACAAAGTCATACACAATTTAGTGACTGAACAGCAATGTTCATTTTAAAAGTAAGAGTTGGGTCTACCAAAAGGAAACATCCTATGAATAAATACTAACAGACGTAGGTACTCATCAATTATTCCCTGAATTTTTATTTGAGTCATTAAAACCCCTTTATTAGATTTCTAATACTCATCACTCCTGTTAAAATATACTACAAAAATCACTTTGCCTCAGAGTACTCAGATAGAAAAGGAAATAAAGTGTCTACTTGATGAATAGAGGAATTCTAAAATATATAAAGCCCACTTACCTCAGAAATATGATCATGTCTACCATTTCAAAGAATTCCTAGCAATAAACAGGAACATTTAGCTTCTTCTAAATAAAAACAGCCAGTAATACTCAATGGACTATGTAGAAAATGAATAAAAAAATGACTTTAAACAAATGATAAACTGAAATTGACTCACTTGAAATTACTTTAAAATATGACTTTAAAAATGGCTCCTGCTAGAATTAATCCAGCAGGTCAAGGAAAAGCTTGTCCAAGCTGTTTACCTTTAGTCACATCCACTTCCACATACACAGATCTACACACCCTACTCAGAAACAGATTTTTACTTTTCTAAGGCCTATACCAGTGATCTAATCGCACCAATAGGCAAGGTTATGGTTCTCACAAGATTATGCATCAAATGGCACTGATGTGGAGAAAACATTTTTTAAGCTCTGCGGTATTTTTAAAGAGCCATAGTCTCTGCTAGTTTAAAAACTGTTTTTTTAAAAACAGCTTTACAAACCTTACAAAAGGGTTCCCCAGAGACAAGCATTTGGTCCCTGAGTTGGGAAGATCCCCTGGAGGAAGAAAGGGAAAACCTTTCCAGTATTCTTGCCTGGAAAAATCCCAGGGATAGAGGAGGCTGGCGGGCTACAGTCCATGGGGTCACAAAGAGCAGGACTCGACTGAGCATGCACAGGAGATAACTTTTTCATTGATCTGAAAGTCAATCCAGTTTTTCTGGTCCGTCTTCAGAATCATTTGGCATACACAAACAATATGTATGGTACTTTAGCAGATAATGCTGGGGCTGCTGCTGACACTGCTAAGTCGCTTCAGTCATGACCAACTTTGTGCGACCCCATAGACGGCAGCCCACCAGGCTCCTCTGTCCACAGGATTCTCCAGGCAAGAACACTGGAGTGGGTTGCCATTTCCTTCTCCAATGCTGGGGAGGATCTCCAAATTCAAATCCAAGTAGTAGCCTATCTGTAGCTAGATTTTCTGGAGCCACTAAGTGTCTGTAGCTGACTAATTCAGTAACTACTACATAGATAATTTCGATTTAACTGTTCAAGTCAGAACTAACATTTTCCTAAAACATATTTCCACTTTCTAGTCACATATTAAATTCTAGCCTGGTCTATGATAGACAAAGGTGTAATCATGTATTATTGGTGTCTTAGTCTTCCAGCTGAAATTTTTTTCCTTTATTTTTATCCCTATGGTTGAGGAAAGTTGTAGAGACCACCAGCTCAATGAAAGTAAAACCCACCAGACTTCTCAGGAACAGCTGTGTAGTCAAACAAAATTCATTTGAGGGGAAGAATAATTCCTATTTCAATGAATGGGAAAAAATGTAATTGGACAATATTTTTAAGTTAAACACACTGTAGAGTGAATCTGAATTAAGGAAGCTCTAATTGATGGGGTTTTACTATGTACATAAATATAAGGTGAAATGCACATTTAAATAATTATTAGGGAGAAGGAATCTACTCTCTGTGGGAGTTTCCCTGGAGGCTCAGTGGTAAAGAATTTGCCTGCCAATGCAGGAGAGGTGGGTTCCATCCCTGGCAGGGGAAGAACCCCTAGAGAAGGAAATGGCAACCCACTCCAGTATTCTTGCCTGGAGAAACCCAAAGACAGAACAGGGTGGCGGGCTACAGTCCATGGGGTTGCAAAGAACCAGACATGACTTAGCAACTAAAACAACAATAATCCACTCTCTGTACCCGGAGAGATCGCCCCAAAAGTAAAGGTCCACTTTGTTCTACCTTTCATTTGTGGAGCTGTTAGAAGGCACACACCCCGCCACTATAAGCTGATGAAACATACATTTTGGCTAGTCACCAGGAGATCAGAGGTCACGTTAAGGCTCTGAACTGTGCAACCTTAAGCGGTGAGTCACTCCTCTCTGTTCCTCTGACTGCTCTCCCAGGAAAGTGGGGATGTGCGCTAACTAGGACAGCCCTGGACGGGGGAAGGGGAGTGAAGGAGAGGAGACAGCTGCGGGGGAGTCACTTACGAGACGTAGGCTGGGTAAGCAAATCCTATCAGGTTGCAGAGGAGACAGGCTCCATATCCGAACACCAGGTACAAAGCGAGCAGCCCGGTAACACCTGGAGACAGGAGGACAGAAGCGGGTCGGGGCACACTTCAGCCGCGGCCCCGCCCACAGCGCGAGGCTCGGCTCGTTCCAGGCGACGGAGGAAACCAAACCGCAGCGCGGCCGGGCCTGCGCCGTCGCGGGGCTTTGCCCGGGGTCTGAGGACACCCGCAGGCCCCCTCCTCGTGCCCTCCTCCCTGCCCCCCTCCTCCCCTCCAGGGCACACCAGCTGGAGGAGCCGTTTCTTCCCTTCCCCGAGGGTCTGGAGAAGTCGGGATCCCCTGGCCGGCCCGCAGCCCCTCCGCTCCCGCGGGAACATCCCTTCCCGGCCCCGAGCCTGGCGGGTACCGGGTGTTCCGCCGCCGGCACCGCGCGCCCTCCCGCAGGGGCCGCGCCGCTCCGCGCCAGCCCTGCGCTCCGCCCCTGCGCTTGGCTTTCGGCCGCGGGGCAGACACGTCAGCGCCAGCGGTCCCCGCGCCCCGCGCCCCGGGCGCCCCGTCACCGGCCGGCTCTGGTCTGTCCAGGCAGCCAGCCCCGTCCCTGAAGGTGCCCGCCGCTCGCCCCCATCTGTCAGCGACCGCGCGGTCCCCGCCGGCCTGCCCGGCAGCGGATGAGACAGCTGCCCCCGGGCCAGGCGGAGCAGGACCCCGCGGGCACCCGCCCTGCACTCACCGAGCGCGATAAAGCTCCGGTTCACGCCGGTCTTGGCCTCGATCTTGGCCAGGAGATCAGTCATGCAGTTCTTCTGGTGAAGGAACTGGTCGAACCTCTGCCTCATGGCTGCAGACATGGCGGGGACCGTCGCGCGCCCCGCCCGGTGCTGTTCCTGGAGCCGGTGGCCGCAGAGGGGTGACTGCGCCCGGGCGGCGAGGCCGGCGCGAGGGGCGGGGCGGGCGACTGACGCGTCGGCGGCGGTTCGCGCAGCCCCGCCCCGGCCCTCCCGGGCGCCGAGCCCGGCGCCACACCCTGGGCTGCGGCCCGGCGCCCGCGGCTCCCTGCCCTGCGGCCGCCCCTCCGCCCCCACCTCCGTTAACTGAGTGAGCGCCTTTCAGAAATCGTGGAAAGTGGAGGCAGGCGGCCTTGTCGCTGCCACCTACAAAGTAGGGGGACTGGTTTGATGGACCTGCACTGCTGCGTTACATCTACTAACACATTTTCCACTTAAAAATTGAAATGCACGACCATCGCCCAAGAACCCTTTGATTGCAGACCTGCTTTTTCTTTCCTGGCCGGTACTCGGCATAGCTTTTCTTACTTACAGATAACAGTCTTTTTGAAAAGACCCTTGAAGAAACAAGTCACCCTACTCTGGGGACACCGTTTCCAAGAAAAGTACTGCACAACTGAAACCATTGCATGGTGGGTTGGGCATTCGCTCCATCTCTGATACCACGGAAACGTTTCTAGCCGCAGAGACAAGTAACGTTTGCTTGCCTTGTGGTTGTCTGGTCGCTCAGTCATTGTCCGACTCTTTGCGACCCTATGGACTGTAGCCCGCCAGACTCCTCTGTCCACAGGAATTTCCCAGGCAAGAATGCCGGACTGATTTGTGATTTCCTGCTCCAAGCGATCTTCCTGACCCGAGGATTAAACCCGCCTCTCCTGAGCCATCAGGGAAGCCCCATTCTTGCCTAGAAACAAAATTACTCTGGAGAAAGTAACTCCAAGGCTTAGGGCAGGACTTCACTTTTCTTCCTTCAGAAGGTCCGGCTCTTGCTCTTCATCCACCTAAATGCTCTTTTTATGGCTCGCCCATGTTAATTCAGGAAACTCCCTTTGCAAGTAGTCTTTCTGACTCCTGTGATCTGTACCCTGCTGCAGACTTTTCCTTGTTGCTTAAGCGTCATAGGCTCCCCACCTCTTACAGACCAGAGCTGCAATTCCTTAGGATAGCATTCACAGGCCCCCAACATTCTCTCTTGACCCTCTTTCAAACTGACTTTACAGTACTGCCTTCCACTTCCACGAAAAGCTACCTTGCCCACTCTTAGGCTTTTCCTTTTATGCTAATTCTCCTTCCTCTTTTCTTCCCCAGATCTTAGCTCAGTTCTCTCAGCAGTCCCATCACTACCCAGCCAAATCAGTGACCAAATTAAACAAACAAAAAGTAAATATATAATAGGATTACGTGATTACCACCATGCTGAGGTGTCCATTTCTGTCTTTCTACCTACGGACAATTCTCAGTGTGGCAGCTAACTGGGTCTTTCTAAATTGTGGGTCAAGTTGTGCTGTCTTTTTGCTCTTAACTCTCCAGTAGTTTCCGTCACTGTAAAGAATAGCCTCAAAGTTACAGGTGGAATGTGTGTGGTTCATCCTTCTCCCTTCTCATCTCATCTCGTCTTGTGTGCTTCCTAGCTGTGCCTCAAACAAGCTGAGCGCCCTCCCGCCCCGGGGCTCTCACTTTCCTTCTACCTCAGTGGTCCCCAGCCAGCAGTGGTTCTGTCCCCCCAGGACATGTGACAATGTCTGGAGACATCTTTGCTTGTAAGACAAGTGGTCACAACTAGGGTGGCAGGTGCTATTCAATCGCAAATAGCATCTAGGAGGGATGCCACTAAACATCCTGCAATGCACAGGTCAGGCCCCCCAAAAAGAAAAATCCAGCCCCAAATATTAGTAGTGCTGAAGTGGGGAAGCCCTTCTCTATCTAAAACCTCCAGATAAGCACTTAACTGTCTTCTCCCATTCATCAGGTCCTTGCTCAAATGACGAATCTATAAGTTTCCCTCTGATCCAGAATTGCAACCCTAACACTCTCTAACCTGTATCTTGCTTTTGTTTTTTGGTTCTGTAACACTAACTACTTTCTGACATTCTATGTTCTACTTTTTGTATTTTTTTTTTCTTTCCCCACTAAATTATGAGATCCACAAAAGGGGGTATTTTTGCCTGTTTTGTTTATATCTGTATCTCAGATGCCTAGAATAGTGCCTTATACATAATAGGTGTTCAGTAACAATTTGTTGAATTAATGAATATCTAACATGCATTGTGCTACTAAGTATTCTAAGTGTTTCATGCACGGATTCACATAATTCTCATGACAGCATGGAGTAGATAGTATTTTATCCTCATTTAAAGGAGGGAAATGAGGCATACGGAGGTCTCAAAATTGGTAAATGTCAGAGCTAGAATTCAGACAGGACTCTTACCCCTCAATGTACTGCTGCTGTGGTAGCTCAGTCCCTAAAGCGTGTCTGACTCTGGGACTCCGTGGACACACCAGGCTTCCCTGTCCTTTGCTAGCTCCCGGACTTTGCTCAAACTCATGTCCGTTGAGTCAGTGATGCCATCTAATCATCTCATCCTTTGCTGCCCCTTTCTCCTTTTGCCTTAGATCTTTCCTAACATCAGGGTCTTTTCTAATGAGTCAGCTCTTTGCATCAGGTGGCCAAAGTATTGGAGCTTCAGCATCAGTCCTTCCAATGAATATTCAGAATTGATTTCCTTTAACATTGCCTGGTTTGATCTCCTTGCAGTGCAAGGGACTCTCAAGAGTCTTCTCCAGCACCCCAATTCTAGAACACCAATTCTTCAGCCCTCAGCTTTCTTTATGGACCAATTCTCACAACAGTACTGGAAAAACCATAGCTTTGACTGTACAGACTTTCGTCAGCAAAGTGATGTCTCTGCTTTTTAAATGCACTGTCTAGGTTTGTCAGTTTTTCTTCCAAGGAACAAGCACCTTTAATTTCATGGCTGCAGTCACCATCAGAAGTGATTTGGAACTCAAGAAAATAAACTCTGTTGCTACTTCCATTTCTTCCCCTTCTATTTGCCATAGAGTGATGGGAACAGATGCCATAATCTTAGTTTTTTGAGTTTTAAGCCAGCTTTATCACTCTCCTCTTTCACCCTCATTAAGAGACTCTTTAGTTTCTCTTCATTTTCTGCCGTTATTAGAGTGGTATCATCTGCATATCTGAGATTGTTGATATTTCTCCCTTGATTCCAGCTTGTGATTCATCCAATGTACTGCTGATATGGGTCAGATAGTGTCTTCAAAAAAGATAAGCTGGAGTGATAATCTCCTTCTCATTTGGAGGTAGGGTCTTTTTTTTTTTTTTTTTCATTTATTTTTATTAGTTGGAGGCTAATTACTTTACATCATTGCAGTGGGTTTTGTCATACATTGAAATGAATTAGCCATGGATTTACATGTATTCCCCATCCCGGTCCCCCCTCCCACCTCCCTCTCCACCCGATCCCTCTGGGTCTTCCCAGTGCACCAGGCCCGAGCACTTGTCTCATGCACCCAACCTGGGCTGGTGATCTGTTTCACTAACAAACACATGAAAAGATGCTCAACATCACTCATTATCAGAGAAATGCAAATCAAAACCACAATGAGGTACCATTACACACCAGTCAGGATGGCTGCTATCCAAAAGTCTACAAGCAATAAATGCTGGAGAGGGTGTGGAGAAAAGGGAACCCTCTTACACTGTTGGTGGGAATGCAAACTAGTACAGCCACTATGAAAAACAGTGTGGAGATTTCTTAAAAAGCTGGAAATAGAACTGCCATATGACCCAGCAATCCCACTTCTGGGCATACACACCGAGGAAACCAGATCTGAAAGAGACACGTGCACCCCAATGTTCATCGCAGCACTGTTTATAATAGCCAGGACATGGAAGCAACCTAGATGCCCATCAGCAGACGAATGGATGAGGAAGCTGTGGTACATATACACCATGGAATATTACTCAGCCATTAAAAAGAATTCATTTGAATCAGTTCTAATGAGATGGATGAAACTGGAGCCCATTATACAGAGCGAAGTAAGCCAGAAAGATAAAGACCATTACAGTATACTAACACATATATATGGAATTTAGAAAGATGGTAACGATAACCCTATATGCAAAACAGAAAAAGAGACACAGATGTATAGAACAGACTTGTGGACTCTGGGAGAAGGCGAGGGTGGGATGTTTCAAGAGAACAGCATCGAAACACGTATATTATCTAGGGAGGTAGGGTCTTTATAGAAGCAGTAAATTAAGATGAGTTTACCTGGGTGAGTACTAATCCAGTATGACTGGTGCACTTATAAAACGAGGAAATTTGGATGAAACAGAGACAGACATACCCAGAGGAGTGACAAGGCGAGAAGCCAGCCTTCTACAAGCCACGAAGAAAGAGCTGCCGTCATAGCACTGGAAGGAAACCGGCTCTACCACCAGCTGATCTTGGCCATCTGGCTTGCAGAACTGTGAGACAATACACATCTTTTATTGAAGACAAGCAGTTTCTGGGACTTTGTTACAGCAGCCCTAACTAATACAACTGGCTACCAGAATAACTGAATTTTGAAGTTTTTAGCCAGTTGTAAATTTAATTTCCTAAGTGAATACAGTAATTACCCATTTGTCTGGAAGTCAAGGTCATGTTTTTGAGAACTTCAAATGATTCACAATTTGATAGTATTATTATTTTTTAAGCCAAGGAGCAATGTCCTTTAAGTGTTCAAATCAACCTATATTTTTATCTCAACTTTTCATATTGTGTCAACATTTGTAGTATATCAGATATGCATGAAGTATCTAGAAGCATACTTAGAAGCATTCACTTAGAATTCTTTTGTATAAGTATTGCTCCCTTCCCAATTGTCTGTGAAGTTAGATTGTAAGTTTTTCTTTCCTCCATCATTCTAACACTGGCAAGATGACGCAGCATAGTAAGGCATAGTGGGTGTGTGTGTGTGTGTGTGTGTGTGTGTGTGTGTGGCACAGCCTCTGGACGCAGCCTGTATGGGTGAAATCCCAGTGTACCATTTAGCTG